TAAAGTACATAAACCCTCCGAAAACAACAATGTTCAAAACTGGTAGCAATGCCCAAGCAAGGGGGAGATAACTTTCCACATTTCCTCAGCCTCGTTTTGATTCCGTATCAGAAAAGAGCTTGAAAAGTACGACTTCAGAAACTACTTTCCCTCGTGTTTTCAAACGTTTTGATGACCTTTCTATGAAGTTTGAGATGCCCCCTAGAATTACCAACCCTGAATGTTTGAAGTATGGTGCAATTAGACGTTTTAAAGATAGATTGAAAAATTAAACTATCTCTAATTTTCATATACGGACGAGTAATTTGTCAAAACATGCATTAATAGCTTCCTCAGGTATTCCACTACAAATGCATATCACATGCAGGCATGTATTCAACCGTTCTTGTTCGCCACACGAATTTTCCAAGGCATACTGTAGCTAAAATCGGCTCATTCATATCCAATATGGCAGCCAATACGTGTGTAGAAAAAAATGTAAACAATTCAAATTGAATGTCTGACGTCTGTTTACTTCATGTCGAACAATGTTAAGGTGATACAATTTTAAATTCATGTTTTTGCACTGTGTCCTTAAACAACTGAAGTATTTTATCAATAGCTCGTATCAGAAGCTATTTCATATGCGAAGGCGAAAATAGGGTGCATCTCAAAGTTAACAGGAATAAATTTCAAGATTGACTTACTTTGATGAAGAAAACAATGAAAGTCAAATAAAAACATAATCTATAACCATAATTTAACTTTTATTGATAGGTTCATTACTGGAAATGACAATATGTCATGTGCATAATGACACATAAGCCACTGTATATTAATAAGGAAATCAAAGGAAGACAACTCTTGCATTTTACATCTCGTGTCAATATATTCTTCTGTGTTTCAACAACGGCACAAGAATATTGTGAAATTTAAGATAAAATTCAATAACTGGTACCTAGGTTATATTCTAAAAATATTTTGATCTTGCATTCCTGTATTATCTGCTTTTTATTGCCCAATGTACACTTTCTAATCATTTTCCTCAGAAAGATAGATAACTCTGGATGAATTCTGCATTTTTTAAACATTCATACAAGAGTTAATTTTCACCCGATTTGAGAAATGATTGCTGATATGGAATCAGTAGGTCATACTTTACACAACAAATATAAAAAACTGACAATTATTTGAGTCCTTAAAAATTATTGGGCATTGCTAAAACTGGAAATTAAACAAGGCTGACTGGAATAAATTTGAATACTTATGCTTACAAAATATTTCTGTTGAAAAATTTGAAAACCATCCTGATCCTATTCAAAATTTTACTGAAATACTATTAAATATCGCAAACGAATGTATACCTAAAACCTCGACAAATTCTACTAGAACGAAAAAACCATGGATTACAGAAGAATGCAATGAAGCGATAAAAGCTCGCAAAAAAGCATAAAGATTATTTAATAGATTACCTACATCATCAAACTTAAGCAATTTTCGTGTATTTAGAGCAAAAGCTCGCAGAACTATTAATTTTAGCAAAAGAAAATCTTGGAAAAAGTTTGTTTCAAACCTAAATTCACATACCCCTATAAATAAAGTTTGGAACGCAATAAGAAAAATAAAAGGAAAAGGTCCTGAAAAATATCAACATCTTAGTATTGGAAATCAAATTATTACTGATAAGAAAGAAATATCTAATGAAATAGCCAATGCAATCTCCAAGAATTCCTCGACAAACAACATGAGTCCTAGTTTTATAACATACAAAAATACGCAAGAAAACAAAACATTAGATTTTACATCCGAAAACAAAGAATGTTATAATGAACCATTTACTTTTGAAGAGTTGCAAAAATCTCTAGATAAATCTCACGTCACAGCTGTAGGACCGGATCATATCCACTATCAATTAATTAAACATCTTCCTAGAGAGAGTAAAGAGTGTCTTCTGCAAATTTTTAATACTATCTGGAAACGAGGGGATTTTCCACCTTCCTGGACTCAAGCCACAATTATTCCTATTCCAAAACCTGGAAAGGACCATGCAGACCCTAATAATTATCGACCAATTGCGTTAACAAGTTGCTTATATAAAACCATGGAACGGATGATCAATGAACGATTAATATGGTTTCTTGAAACCAATAACATTCTTACAAATATACAATGTGGTTTTAGAAAAAACCGAAGTACTACTGACCAGTTAGTAAGACTGGAGACCTTTATTAGAGATGCTTTTGTTAAAAAAGAGCATGCTGTATCTATATTTTTTGACTTGGAAAAAGCGTACGATACTACATGGAAATATGGTATTTTAAAAGATCTTTACAATATTGGTCTCAAAGGAAATTTACCTAATTTTATTAAGAACTTTTTAAATGATAGAACTTTTAAAGTGCGATTAGGATCTACAGTTTCAGACAATTTTGAACAAGAAATGGGTGTACCACAAGGAAGTATTCTTTCAGTCACATTATTTAGCATTAAAATAAATAGTTTGGCTGAAGTACTTAAAAATGATATGCATGGTAGTTTATATGTTGATGACTTTGTTCTGTGTTATAAGTCCAAAAATATGAATTTTATTGAGCGGCGGTTACAATCATGTCTAAACAGAATTCAAAATTGGGCCGATAATAATGGTTTTAAATTTTCAATGAGTAAAACGGCGTGTGTGCGTTTTTGTTTTAAACGGAAAACCCATGATGATCCAAATTTGCAATTAAATGGAAATCCAATAAAAGTAGTTAAAGAAATAAAGTTTTTAGGTGTCATCTTTGATAATAAACTCTCTTTTATTCCACATATAAAGATGCTTAAGGAAAAATGCTTAAAGGCACTAGATATTATTAAAGTTATAGCAAACACGAAATGGGGAGCTGGTAAAAGTACCCTACTTAAACTGTATCGCTCTCTAGTAAGATCGAAACTAGACTATGGGTGTATTGTGTATGGATCAGCTAGGACTTCCTATATAAAAGCTCTCGACGCAATCCATCATCAAGGTCTTAGATTGTGCTTGGGGGCTTTTCGGACATCTCCTAAAGATAGTTTATATGTAGAGGCAAATGAACCACCTCTAGATTTAAGAAGAATTAAACTTGCTTTACAGTATATAATTAAATTAAAAGCAAACGCCGATAATCCTGCTCATGACTGTGTTTTTCATCCACAAAATGCACATTTATTTGATAAAAACAAGAAATGCATAAAGCCACTTTGTTTTCGATTTAAAAATCATATTAGAGATTCTGAACTACCATTGGATATTGTCAAACCTACTATTCTTTCTGAAATACCACCATGGAAATTAATTAAACCAGTAGTTAACAAATCCTTATCCGAACTAAAGAAATCAGAAACAAATGCCCTCATTTTTCAGCAGAAATTAGCTGAAATAAAATCTAAACATCCTACAACAGAAATTTACACAGATGGTTCTAAGGACAGAGGTAGGGTTGCTGCCGCTGCAGTGGTCAAAAATGATGTTTTTTCTATTCGACTTCCGAACGAAGCAACAATTTTTACGGCCGAAGCAAAAGCTATACAACTAGCTTTTGAATATATTACAACTTCTAGTGAAAAATCGTTTACAATATTTTCAGACTCGCTCTCATGCTTGGAGTCCATACACAATATAAACACAGATCACCCATACATTTTGGATATATTGACTAAGTTCTATCATCTGACTCAACAAGGTAAAGAAGTTGAATTTTGTTGGATTCCGAGTCATATTGGTATTCCGGGTAATTACAAGGCCGATAGTTCTGCAAAAACTGCTCTTCAATATGAAATCGTTTCTTTTAAAATTCCTTACACCGATCTAAAGTATTTAGTCAAACTTTATGTAAATTCTCTTTGGCAGATATTTTGGGATTTTTGTGATAATAATAAATTGTATGCAATACAAAACAAAGTTAATCAATCATCTGATTTCGGCCTGAAACGTCAGGACGAAGTCATTATTTCAAGAATACGAATTGGACATTCAAGATTTACCCATTCATATCTTCTAGACAAAGAAAATCAACCTGAATGTGTTTCTTGCGAATGTGCAATAACTATACACCATATTCTTTTGGAATGTTCTGATTTTTCGCCTATACGAAAGAGACTTTTTAATAATGTGCGAACAATGCATGATCTTTTTACAAACATTAATCCTTGTACAATTATACAATACGTACAAGAAACTGATTTTTACATCAAGATTTAATGTACATATTTTTTATTAGTATTTTTGTAATTTTCAATTTAACTTTACATTTTATTTTAAAATTTCATGTCCGTCGGATGGGACGTTAAATGGAGCCCCGTGTCAAGGATTGCAACCCCCTTGGCACGCTAAAGATCGTTTCACTGGTTTTCGAAAAAGAGTAGGCTCATTTGGGGCCGCCAGAGAAACCCAAAACTTTCAAAACCGTTCCTATAATATTTAAATTCCTACCGCCGAAATATGGCTGAAATATTGCCGACTCGGCGTAAAACAATAATAATCAATCAATCTTCCCTGAGTGGTGAAACGCCGTGAAACAATTTCTGTCCTTGTTTAAACAAAGGTGAGTGTTGCATTTTAGGCACTTCATAAATGAAAATCCATTGCAGAATTCATATTTGCACCGTTGGCGTTTACTATCCCAGAGAGGAAAGTGGTCCAGGCAGTCCTGGCTTACATCGGAGGTGGGTTTCCCTGTCAGTGGTTTTGGAACTGCTGGTGGTGACAAACCTCCAGGCCTCCCAACTTTAGCTTTGTATTCAATAAGGCCAGAAGCAACATCTCTGATAAAATTACAAAGTTTCATTGGTTTTCTATGAAGTAGGCTGCAGTGTCGCTTATACCATAGCCATGCATTAACAGCTGCAATAAGAAGAGTACGCCAAAGAATATACCACCTTCTAGACTTAATTTTTTGCTTGTAGACGGAGACAAGGGAGTCTAGAAGATCAACACCTCCCATCAATTTGTTATATGTTTCAATGATGTTTGGTCGCCGAACTGTAATAATCTGCTTCTCCTATTTGTCCCATCTGCGTACTTCTCCCACTGGATTCAAACCAACGTATGAGGACACAACGTCCACAGATTTGTTGTCATACCATCTCAATGCTATTATGTTACATGAAGTTTCAACTCTGTAGTCAACAGATCCCCTTCCTTCCTTTTTTAATTCTTTTTCTGACTTCAGAGTGCAACCTCTTAGTCTGTTAGATCGCACAGTGCCTACATACCAAAAGGATCTCTCCTTTAAGGCCTTTACTAAGGACGGAGAAGTAAAATAGTTATCTGCAAATATTTTGTAATTATTTGGCTCCAGCGTGGACACTAACTTGAGGACAACATCGCCACCAACACCAATAGAATTTGCATTTTTTTCAAAACTCCCTTGGTAAACATCAAAATCATAGAGGATGCTAGATGCCCCTGCCCTCCCCCATAGCTTGAAACCCCAAGGATTTGGTTTATCCCTTATATACTGCTTTAGACTAGACTTGCCCTTGAAAGACACCATAAGTTCATCAACTGCATGGTTCTCTTCAGGTGGTATCTCCAGAAACCTGTTTCTCAGCTGTTCAATCCAGGGCCTAACTTTCCATAGTTTGTCCTTCTTTTGCTCGTCAGTGACTGACATATTGTTTGTTAAATGAATCATGGTAGCAATTTTTTCAAATCTGTTTCTTGCTATTGCGTCTGCAATGGGAGGAAAACGACTTTCTGTCTCCCAGTAAGCTCTAACTCTGGGCATTTGGACAAGGCCTATCCTCAGGTACACACCGATCATAATTTCGATTTCTTTTTTTGTGCTTGAAAGCTGAATCCCCTCTTTTTGCATTGCATAAAGGTTTGTTTGCTCTGATATATTTGAAATAATTTGGTCAGTTACCATGAGTTTGAAAAATTGGAATGGAGTCTTGAGCAGACCATCATGTGGTGCCTCTTCAAGTTTACCTTTGAATTCAGTGCATGGTTCCTTGAATTGCTGATTTGACCAATTCCATTCCTGATTTGGAAGCTGAGGTAGTACATTCAGAAGATCAGGATCTTCAGTTATGTCCTGAAAATTCAATTCTCTGAGAGGAGCTTCATTATTACTTCTGTCAGGCTTTTTCTCTCTGATATAAGCTGATAATGGGATATTCTCAGACTCAGAATCACTGTCCTCAACAGGAGTCAACGTTTTGGTTTTGAGTTTCTTTTTCAATTGAAATAAAGTCTCATTTTCATAGTCAGATGTGTCACACTCACTGGAAGCTTAAGAACGTTCATCAAAATCACATTTCTTCAGTTCATATTCATCACCTGAACTTTCAAAATCATCAAAATCACTTTCATCCTTTCTGATTTGATTGACAAGGTCTCGAACTTTCTTAGCTGCTGACCTTTGTTTTTTCTTTCCATGTTTTTCTTGAAATCAAAAACAAGTAAATATTTAAGCAGAAATTAATGAAACATGTTTGCAAATTACACATACGACTAAAACCAAACCTTTTATTTTGTTTCAGGACTGTTAATATTTATCAAATATATAACTATGATTTAATGCCCATTGTCTCATATGTGATACATTGATTCAGCTGAAAATCATTCATGAATAAGCAGAAAACAAACAAACCAGGACATAAAATTAAGTGTAATAATTAATGAATTTTACATCACATATCCTTAACAGGGGTTTTATTTTCAAATTTTAAGGATTTTCAGTGTTCAGAAATCCTATATGTAAGACAGCTGCATTTTACTCTAAATTCCCATTGTATCATATAATATACAGAAAAATTAATACCCGATGTTTCATATATGCAACACATGATTTCAAGTAAAAAATATATATATAATATTGTATTACTTTAAAGATTATTTATGTTACTTTTTTATTTTTTGATCCTCTCAGAAGAAAATTATAAAAAAATTTCTCACAAATACTCACCTTATATTCTAGTTATTGTCAGAAAAATAAATAGCTCTGTGCCGTGTTGACATCTTCATGGAAGCTGCTATGTTTGTTAGGAAAAACATGTCACATGATGTAGAGTTAGGTGAAAATGCGAAACTAAATTTTGCAAAATTGACATAGGAGAGTTCATATCAAAGAGAGATAATTTGTCCAACACAAACAAGATGATATAACAGATTATTGAATTTCATGTAGCATATATGCTACGTGGGGGCACTAGAGGGTTAAACTATCTACACAGATCATTGTAGCCCTAGTAATCTCAATGCAAACTGTCCTGTATCTCCTTGTCATCTGTTCATAAAAAAAAATGAAAATACTGCATTCATGTAGGGAGAGGAAAAGAGAGATAGCAATTGAGCATGAGGGAAAGAGACTAATAATCTGATGTCATTAACATTAATAATTATTCTATAAAAACAAATATAGTAAATAAACATCTAGAAAAGTGTGAAATATTGCATATTAGGAGGCATCTGTACATTGGAAATTCATAAGTTGCCTTCCTTCCGTTCGTTTGTTGCCAACTCCTACTTCGACACGGGTCCTCGGTTTATATGGTCTCGTCCGAAAGACGGGTCTCCACGACCCGTAGTGGATTCGAACCCGCGACGTTAGGTTCCCGCTCTAACCCCGGGGGTCATGATTTGAACAATTTAGAATCTTACATTACCCCATATGTTTCCACTTAAATTTCAGCTTTTCTGGCCCAGTGGTTTTTGAGAAGAAGATTTCAGCTTTTCTGGCCCAGTGGTTTTTGAGAAAATTTTTAAAGATTGTTTACTACATATTTCAATGTAAAAATTGGATTCCCTATTGTGGCCCCGCCCTACCTTCAGGGGTCATGATTTAAACAATTAAGAATCTACACTACCCAAGGATGCTTCCACATAAGATTCAGCTTTTTTGGCCCAGTGGTTCTTGAGAAGAAGATTTTTTAAAGATGTTTACTACATATTTCAATGTTAAACTTGGATTCCCTATTGTGGCCCCACCCTACCCCCGGGGGTCTTGATTTAAACAATTGAGAATGTACACTACCCCAGAATGCTTCCACATAAGTTTCAGCCTTTCTGGCCCAGTGGTTCTTGAGAAAAGGATTTTTAACAAGAGGCCCAAGGGCCTTATCGGTCACCTGAGTTTAATACAACAATTTAGAAGTTAAATACACTGATAGATGAAGCTTTGTTGCCCTAAAGCAAGAGAAGTAGGAAGATCAGGATCAACAAAATAATTAGTCTAGTATTCAGTATCAACTCATAAATTAAGTTCTAATCTGTCCCCCACTTTACACTATCACCATGCAGACTATTAACAAACTATTAGTGCTTCTGTACTATTTTTAAACCCATATTAAGACCTCTAGCATTGACTTCTCTTATGGTCTTTGGAGAACTTTTAATTTGATAGGTTATTTTTGTCTCATTTTTATTTATCTATTACTTACAGGTCTACCTGATTATTAAAACTAAGAAAATACTTTTTGAATTATATGATAAACATTCTTGCATAATTATCTTATTCTATTAACCTTTCAAATACATTATTTACAGTGATTAATTATCAAAGGTGAATGGAAAAGGGGAATAACTTCTCTCAGTAGAATACAAATTAATTAAGAGCCCTGCCCAGGACTAGAATGCTTAGACAAATGGTCCAGATGTTCAAAAATCTGGTAGAAATACGCTTACTTATATCATTTAAACTTTTACTCAGTTTTTTTCCGATACGCCCAGAAGCAGAGAAGAATTTTACAGGTACAATGCATTTTCACTACAGATTCAACAAAGCCTTACCCTAACACCAGAACCCAAGACCAAGGGTCAAGAAATTTACAAATTTGGAAGAGTTACCCTCATCATCATAACTATGAACTTCGAAGTATTAACACTTTTCCACTATATTATCAAAAGCCCCCCCCCCCCATTATGCCAGAACCCCTGACCCTAGGACCACAAGATTTAAAAATTCTGTTCGAAGCTCCAATTTTCATCATAGCTAAGCAATTTATTTATCAGCTCAATGCTAAGGAGCAGACTGGATAAATTACTGATTAATTAATAGAATTAATGCTTTTTCACTATATAATCAATAGACCCCCCCCCCCTTCCTCAAGAACCCCCAAAACTGAGGCCATATACTTAAAAATTTTGGAAGAGGCATCCTTGCCTATCATAATCATGCACTTAGTTTGTTTAAATAATCTCCAGTAGCAGGGAAGATTTTCAAAGAATCAATGCATTTTCACTATATATTCAATAGAGCCCCGCCCTAACACCAGAACCCCTGACCTTGGGGCCATGAAATTCACAATTTTTGAAAAGGCATCCTTATGAATCAAAAGCATGCACTTAGTTTGTTTAAATAATCTCTTGTAGCAGAGAAGAAGATTTTCAAAGAATCAATGCATTTTCACTATATAATCAATAGAGCCCCGCCCTAACACCAGAACCCCTGACCCTGGGGCCATGAAATTCACATTTCTGGAAGAGGCCCACCTCCTCATCATGACTATGTACTTAGTTTATCACCTTAATGCCCAGGAGCAGAGGAGAAGATTTTCAAAGAATTCATGCATTTTCACTATATAGTCAATAGAGCCCCGCCCTAACACTAGAACCCCTGACCCTGGGGCCATGAAATTCACAATTCTGGAAGAGGATCTCTTGCTCATCTTAACTATGTACTTAGTTACTTTATTTAATACCCAGGAGCACAGAAGAAGATTTTCAAAGAAATAGTGTACTTTCACTATATGATCTATATAGCCCCACCCTGGGGCCAGAACCCCTGACCCTGGGGCCATGAATTTCACAATTTTGGAAGAGGCATTCTTGCCCATCATAACTATGTACTTACTTACTTTGTTTAATACCCAGGAGCACAGAAGAAGATTTTAAAAGAATTAATGCATTTTCACTATATAATCAATAGAGCCCGGGTTACTGTCACTTCGCCCCAAAACCAGAACGCCCCATGCATGAGCGCCCCAAACATTTTTACCGGCGCCCAAGTACAAATATGAGCGCCCCAAATTTAAATCACGAGCGCCCCAAATTAGCATTTCGAGCGCCCCAAGGCTTAGTAACTAGTAAAATAAATTATTGTCTTTTTTTTACATTTAGATGTTAAAAAATATTGATGTGAACAATTCACGAGCGCCCCAAATTATATATATCATGAGTGCACCAAGTTTTTCGAGCGCCCCAAGGCTTAGAAACTAGTAAAGAAATAAATTATTGGCTTTTTTTTTTACATTTAGATGTTAAAAAAATATTGATATGAACAATTCACGAGCGCCCCAAATTATATATATCATGAGTGCACCAAATTTTAAGTATAACGAACGCCCCAAGATTATAAAGTTATAAAACGTACTTCCGTGTTTTTAAGTACACGGACATATACCAGGACCGAAATACATTTTGAATGAGATACAAAAGAGTGAATTTTATTATACTGAATTTTTAAATTTTAATTTAATAATTGCTAGTAAGTAGGTTCGTCTCAAAGGTCTACTACACTACTACACTATACGAATAGAATAGACTTGAGCACTGATGTATATTTCTGCAGTAACTATGATTTATAACCATAAAATTTCTTAGATATATTTATATTATATATATTTATATTAATATGTATACGTTCAGAAATATTCATTTTCGAAAGATGTAGTCTTATAGCTTAATGGCTGTATTTATTATTAAGTTGGTTTTTCCCTCAATTTGATTTGTATCAGTAATGTTAACAAATACGTATATATGTCCTTCTTTTGCATGCTAGTGGCCAATAAAACATAAAATAATGATTTTAACAACAATTTTTTTCTTACTTAATTTAATTTTAATATTTGGTAGACGTCATGAAAAATAGATGCATATACATAACACAAATGAATAGAAACCACACTTAGAGTTCTTGTGTCTCAACATTGATAAATAATAGTCTGGGTGGGAACACTTTTTGTTCAGGTTATCGTTACACACACACTAGAGGCGACTTGGGCCACACACTCTGGAAAGTTGCACAAGCAGCTCCGACCCTGTAAACATTCCAGCCTCGTACTGTTCCCACAGGTCTTCATATAATCTCTGGCGCTCTCGGACATCTCTGCGCTGTAGTCTGTGGAGACTTCCCTCTTCCACCATTTGTTTCTGAAGGGGTAGCTTCTCTGCCTCGCTGTGCAGGATTGGGATGAGGAGATACATTGGGGGCGTGGATTCTTTAGCGTTGTGGTTGAGTCTCCTATGCCATCCTTCACAGTCATTGTTCGTTCTCGTTTCTTTTCTGTAGACATTCCAAGAAGGGATGGGGAATACGTTGCTTTCCACCCAATTCCTGTTAACGTAAGACAGAAGTGAGAGTAGGCGGTCATCATCCTGAGCTTGGTCTTGAATGTACAGAAAGGCGTCCTTTACCTCGGCTTCTGGCAGGAAGGGCA